AGGTGGAAGGGGGAAGCTTTTGTTCGTGGGTCATTGAGTCTAGGCTAATGGTGGTAGAATATTTTGGAAAAAGATAGCAATAATGCTGGTATAACATGAAAAATATCATCTATTTCCCTGAGTTGTAAATAGGGAAGTTATGTTGGTGAATGTCTGGTTGTATATGTTTTCACCACAATAAAAGTAAAAAAAAGTTTAAAAAAAAAGAGAGAGAGAGAGAGCTGTAACATTGTTGAGACAGCAAGAGTTGACAAAAAGCAGTGGCAGAGAAATTGCGGTAGAGGTGGCAGAACTGAGAGGCTGACACAAGACAGAGCGGTGGGGCTTCCCAGCCCAGAGAGTGAGAAAGCTGACGGCCTTTGGGCAGGAGGTGAGCTGGCGGGATGAAGTGCCTCTCTGGGCACCTACCTGCAGAGCTAAAAGAGCTTTGTAATACTTGTAACAGAGCCCAAGGTGCTGCAGGGCCAAGAGTCTGAAGCCAGAGAGAAGTGTGCCTGCGGCACAGCTGAGAAGCTGTCCTGATCAAAGAATTGTATCCTGAGGTGTTCCCAATCCTGAATTGTAACCTGTTTCTTCCCTAAGAAACTTCATAATCATAGTATTGTGTGAGAGCTCTGTGTGGCCATTGCAATGAATGAATGAATGATCGAACCCAGCAGAGAAGTAGAGAGTACCATGGGAAGGGTGGTTGGTGTCAGAATTGGTAAAGAAGTAGTAGGGTGAAGGCATGTCTGACCTCCACTTCATAAGAATCAGTTTTGTGCTGATCTTTCTCCCCTCTTGTTAAGTTAGTGGTCAGATGATGCCGCCCCCACACCCTCTTTGCAAGTGTGTATAGCATACTATGTTGTTGTTGTTCTGTGCCGTCGAGTCGGACCCGACTCACAGCAACCCCTCCTTGGGTTTCCGAGGTGGTTATCACTACAGAATTGGATTGCCCAACCTTCCTTCCAAGGAGTAGCTGGTGGATTTGAACCGCCAGCCTTCTGGTTAGCAGTCAAGTGCCTTAGGTACTACACCACCAGAGCTCCTATAGCATATTATAGTTTGTGTAAAAAAAGGTGGACGAGAATATATTGTTATCGTGTGCTGCCGTAGAGTCAACTCTGACTGGGGCAACTTTACATACAATGGAACAAAGTACTGCCCAGTCCTGCATCATCCTCACAGTCGCATGTTCAAGTCCATGGATGGGGATGAGGAGCTAGATCTGCCATATTCACACAAGGAGCCTAGGTAGCACGTTGCTGGTTTATGATCAACAGCTAACCTAAAGGCTGGCGGTTCAAGCTCACCCCGTGTCTCCACCGAAGAAAGGCCTGGTGGGCTGCTTCTGTAAAAATGGCAGCCAAGAAAACCCTACGGGGGCAGTTCCTCTCTGTAACACACGGGGGTGCCATGGGTCAAGGCCGACTCCACAGGAGCCAATGAGGACACCAACATTCCATGTGCCTGCGATGGCCCAGAGATGCTCCAATAGTGGTCACCTGTGTAGGTGTAGAGGGAGGACCAGGCAGGGAGGAGGGCTGGTGACCAAAGGAAACTTACTGTGTGTGTAATTTTGAATATATATATATAAACATATATGAAACATGGAAATTTAAAAAACTAAAATTCTGTATATTTTTATAAAAGTCATCAGGACTAAGATATTGAGAAATAAATTATTTTTCTCCTTGCTTTTCTCTGTGTTCCATGTTTCCTTTAAAATGTCCTTCAAAAGAAAAAAGGGAAAATTACCAGATGGGGGTCTTAAACGGTGTGGCTCTACCTGGAAAGGGGTATAACTTGCCTGCCTCTGGGGGTGTGTTCTGTGAGCTGCTCCCTGGGGAGGCCGGGCAGGCCTGCGCCAAGCCCACTCCCTTCCCCTCACCTGCAGCCAGTGACTCTGAGGCCCACCTGAGAAGGGACCTCTCTCCAGAACTCCAGAGTCACATGTCCGTCTGCTCCTGCGCACCACCAGGTGAGATGGCCTGTCTCTTCTCTCTGGTGCCTCCAAGCCTGTCCCTGGCCTAGGCTTCCCCACGCCAGGAAGGACAGACCATCCAAACCAAAACCCTAGGAGCCATCCCCCAAGGAGGGGTCCCTGAGTTGAATCTGACTCAGTGGCACGTGAGGTTTTTTTTTTTAGATAGTTGTGGTTAAGGAGCCATGATGGTATGATGGTGGAGTGGTTAAGTGCCTGGGTGCTAGCCAAAAGGTCAGTGTTTCAAACCCACCAGCCGTTCTGTGGGAGAAAGATGTGGCAGTTGGCCTCCTTAAAGATTACAACCTTGGAAATCCTATAGGGCTGTTCTACTCTGAGAGTCTTAGTGACTTGATAGCAATGGGGTTTTATAGCTGTGATTAGAGTCCCACGTGGGAATGGGTTTTCTTTGTTATGTTAATGACGTAGTATTAGTGTAGGGTGTGTCTTGAGGCAATCTCCTTTGAGATATAAAAGCAGATTAAGGAAACAAGCACAGATAGGGGAAGACAGGTGCCACCCCACAAGAGTGAGCGCCAAGGAACCAAGCAACAGAAACTGAAAAGAGTCGAGGAAAGGGACGAGATTGTAGTGGCTTCATGGGCACAGCCAGCTACCCTGAGGGAGCGAGTAGTTAGACCTGTGGTAGTTAGGACCATGATATGATCACAGGTGAGGCCAAGCTCAATTGGCATAACACATACACAAAAACACTGCTCTACATCCTACTTTGGTGGGTAGCAACTAGGATCTTAAAAGCTTGCAAGTGGCCATCTAGATGCCATGATGTGTCTCTCCTCATCCAGAGCAGAGAAGAATGAAGAAAACCAAAGATGCATGGAAACAATTAGTCTAAGGGACTGGTAGACCACGCAATCCTCAGCCTATGACCACAAGACCAGAAGAACTAGATGGCGCCTGGCTACCATTGTCAACCACTCAGAGGGGGATCGGTGCAGGAGATCCTGGATAGAGTGGGAGAACAATGTAGAACAAAACTCAAAATCATTAAAAAAAAAAAAAAAGACCAGGTTTGCTGGTCTGATAGAGCCTAGTGAGACCCCTGAGACTATGGCCCCCAGCTACCCTGAAGGTCTGGAACTGAACTCACTCCTGTGGCTGCCAGTCAAACAGACAAGCATATGGGGTGAACATTTACATCAGGTAGATACACTCCCTGGAGCCATCAATCATGGGAGAACAGAAGGGCTGTGTTTGAACAGAGAGACAGCTCAGGGGGCAGAAGTGCATCGGAGGGAAGGACACAGGGAAGAGGTGACTATGGGGAAGAAGTAGGAAGAGAGCTATTACATTGTGGGGCATTGCAGTCAATGTCATGAAATAAAATGTGTATGTGTGACCTGCTGTATGGAAAATAAATTTGCTCTGTAAACTTTCACCCAAATCACAATAATTTAAAAAAAAAGAGCTAAGGACCTTTTGTCCAGACCCCCCAGAGAAAGAGAATGCCTTCCTCTAGAGCCAGCCCCCTGAATTTAGACCTCCAGACTCTGACACTAAGAGAAAATAAATTTCTGTTTATTATAACCACCCACTTGCAGCATTTCTGTTATAGCAGCACTATGTAACTGAGACAGTGCCCAAACCACCCAACTCAGCTCCAGGCTTGCTGACAGCTGTGTCAGTGAAACATGCACTTGTCCAAATGGCTCCACTGAAGCTACCTCTAGTGGGGCCACCTGCAGCCCAGATCTGCACCCTCCTCTTGGTGGCGAGGAGCTGGCTGAACGCTTCCTTGATCCATGCTGTTCATGGATCAGACATACCTCTGACTTATCAAAAAAGAAAGGAAAGTACAAGTGCCAACTCCAAGATGCAGCTATGTAGAGGAGTCCCATAGACCTGGGTTCAAATCCCAGCCCTGACACTGTGTGACGTGGGGAGCCACACCCTTTGCTGAATAGCAGTTCTGAGACCCTTCCCTCTGAAAGGGAAACACACAACTGGGTCATTTAAGCTGAACTCCCTGAAAATGGCCACAAAAGTAGGCTCTTCTTATACCAGGAGAGGGCATCTGAGGGTCACAAGGCCCTGTGACCCCAAAGAGGCCACCAGGTCACTCCGACTCCTCTGTCACCATCCTGGAGGGTTGGTCCATGATCTCATCCCCATCTGCATGCAATGGCAATGCTGAAAACAACAGCAAGTGTCTTGCAGGGGCCTGCCTGTTGCTGTTGTTGTTGTTAGGTGCCATTGAGTCATCTCCGACTCACAGCAACCCTGTGTACAACAGAACAAAATGCTACCTGGTCCTGCGCCAGCCTCACAATCCTTGCTGTACCTGAGCCCATCGTGGCAGTCACTGTGTCAGTCCATCTCGTTGAGGGCCTTCGCCTTTCTCATTGACCCTCCCACTGCTACACAGAGGCCTGGCCAACATGCCATCTTCAGTCTTCTCATGCCATGCCTTTCCAGAACCAACCCCCAACTCACAAACAGGTCCCTCTTCAATGAATCTGAACTCCTTCCTGGCTACCACAGCTCGGAGACACCAGGTCGACCCAGCCTAGTGGCAATCCCTGCCGTCCTACAACTAAGGATAGTCAGCTGGAAACAGGAACCAAGAAAAAGAACCACTCACCGTGGAGATGGCAAACAAGGAGTTATCGAAGGACATATCTATAACAGAAAAGAGAGGAAAGTTGGGGCTGGGGCCAGTTTAAACGTGTCCCCGCCCACAATCCCTACCCCCAGCCCATAGGCCCTAAGGCCACTGTGAGAAGGGGGCAGGCCCATCTCCCAGCATCCTCTCTTGCTCCCTCCTAACCTACCACAGTGAAGTGAACTGTTCCACCTACAGGTAGGACCATGACCCTCCCCTGCTCAAAGCCCTCCTCCAGGGGTTCTGGCTGCCCTTGGAAAATTAAGGCCTTGTTGCCATTCACACCTTCCTCACACTCCCATCTTCTGGAACACCTCTAGGCAACTACACCTCTCCAGGTGCTTTCCCAAGTGCTCAGTCGCCAACTCATCACCCAGCTACTCCCTGATCTTTTCGCAGGTCTTGGCCTGAACATAGCTTCCCCTAGCCTGACCTCCTGGCTCCAGACACGGTCCAGCCCTGCCATCGGCAGTTTCTCCCCTGGAGTGTGGGCAGAGGCCACACCTGTCTTGGTCATTGTGGCTCCCCCAGATCTTAGCACAGGATAAGTGCTTAGTAAAAGTGTAGGACAGAAAAAAACGAGTTTTTCACTCAGCCCCTCAAGAGAGCACCGCATCTCACAGGCTGGTTCTCTCTCTCTCTCTCGCCCCCTAGTGGAAGCTTGCAGAACGACAGGTTCTGGGAGATTAAGGAGGATTTACACAGCAGCTCAAGTGCGAGTGTAGTCAGACTGCAATGGAGCTGACTGTCCAGCAGGGGGGACGAAACGTTAAGTACACAGCATTATTTGTATTGCTGCTGATGAGTAAGAACTGCCGTATGCCAGGGCATCCCTGAGTGATGCAAACGGTTACATTGTTGTTGTTGGGTGCCTTTGACTCCTCTCTCCCATTCACAGCAACTCTATGTACAGCAGAATGAAACACTGCCCAGTCCAACAGTTACATACTGGGCTGCTAATCAAAAGATGGGTGGCTTGAATCCACCCACAGGTGCCTTAGAAGGAAAGCCAGATGCTGTACTTCTGAAAAATCTGCCATGGAAAGCCCTACCCACACCTCAAAGAATAGAATCAATGGTGTTGAATGGTCCATGTAGAAACTGTTGGATTGGTGTATGTTTTGCTGTCTGTATTCTCAACAACAACAAAATAAATAAAATTTAAAAAAGAAAATACTACAGAACACAGTTCTATTTTGACACACATGGGGTCACCAGGAGTCAAAGTTGATTGATTGCAACTGATCTGGCTTTTTTGGGGGGAGGGGGGCATTAAGTAGGAAGCCAAGACCCTGCCTTGGGGGTTAGGGAAGGCTTCCTAGAGGAGATGACCTTTAGAGGAGCCAGGAAGGGAAGAATGTTCCAGGCTGAGGACAGAGTGAGTGAAATGTGAGGAGCCAGGTGAGAGGTGACACTGGCAGGTGAAGGGGGTATTTTTGGACTGAGCAGCCACGAAGAAGGTCAAAGAAGGGAGAATGAGGCCTGCAGGCATTTGGGGGTGTGGGATGGGAGTGAGGGGCACACACCTGTGGTGGCGAAGTTAATCTGGGCCCAGCAGGATTCTCGCTCTCTGCAAAAGGATTCAGGAGAAAAGTGAGGGCTCAACCCGCCTCCCACCAGCACACTGGGGTGGCCTCTTAGAAATCCTGGCCCCAAACCAGGCCCAATACTTGACCTTCAGCTCCCATTCATCTGCTCATCCTCCTCCTCCTCAAAGTGCCCTGGGAGGGAAAGCAACAGGGCCTAATCCATGTGAGCTTCCTATCCCTAAATCCTCTCAGCCGCCTAGCCAGTTCCATGGGAAGATGAAGCAATGGGAATTCATTGGCCCAAGCCCCTCGGCCAGGTGGAGCTGGGATTCAGACCCTGGAGGGTAGGCAGCAGACATCCTGACACCCAGAAATCAGGGCCACGGCTCTGGGGCACAATCCCAGCAGGTGCCACTCACCTTGTGGGTTTTTAAATGGTTTGCAACAATTTTGAGCAGCAGGCAATCAGGGGGTATAAGCAAGGCTGCACCGCTTGCTCCTCGTTTGACTGTGTGACTGAGCCCTGAGCCTCAGTCCCCTAACCTGTAAAATGGGATTATCTATAGAGCCTACTTCCAGGACTGGTGTGAGGAGAACGTGAGATCCTGCTTGGAAGTCCCCCAGCCCAGTGCCCAGTGTACAGTAGGCACTGAATAAATGACTCTTGTTCCCATTAGCTGGCCCTCCCTGGTGGGCGCTGTTTGGGGTGGGAATCCAGGACCCCAGTCCAGAACCTCAGCAAAAGATTCTTTGATAGCCATCAGGATCTCCAGGGCTGGGATTGAGTCTTTCTGTCCCCAGAACCACACTCTGAGAGTCTTCAGAGACTGTCTCACCTTTTCTTCTGCAAATTTGTGACTTTAACTGGGGAGAAAAATAAATAAATAAATATGGTTAGATCTGGGTCCCGATCACATCTGGTAAATTCCTAAAGCCCCTTAAGACCTCAGAAAGAAGCTCAGCAATTTCTGGTTTGTAAGGCCCTTTAAGGAGCCTTGATGGCCCAGAGGCTAAACGCTTAGCTGCCAATCAGTGAAAGATCAGTGGTTCCAACCCACCAGACTCTACGCAGGAGAAAGATGAAACAGTCTGTTTCCATAAAGATGACAGCCTTGGAAACCCTACGGTGCACTTCCACTCTGTCCTCTAGGGCCGCTGTGAGTCTGAATCGCCTCCACGGCAGTGGGTTTGTTTTGGGTAAAGCCCCCTAACCTTGAATGCATCTCCTCTCCCTCCCTAATACACTTGCAGCCCAACCTTGCCTTCTCACCTGCCAAGGTTGCCACTAACCAGGAGAATCCCAGCAGACATTTCTTTTCTTTTTCTTTCAGTTACAGCAGTAACATGGAAAAACTTCAAACAATGTGCAAGCATGTAAAACTGTTCTGGATGTTTTTTTGGGAAGTATCAATTCCCACTGCCCACCACCCTCAACTCACTTCTGGAGGATTCTTCCCTCCTAAGTTTTGAAGTGAGACTTGCCCAAACTGTCTTCCTCCGTGGTTCTAAAAATAGGTATGAGTGCAAGCACATTTAGGAGCTCTGGTAGTGTAGTGCCTAAGACACTTAGCTGCTAACCAGAAGGCAGGCGGTTCAAACCCACCAGCCACTCCTCGGAAGGAAGATGGGGCAATCTACCTCCGTAGTGATACTGCCTCGGAAACTCAAGGAGGGGTTGCTATGAGTCGGGTCTGACTGGACAGCTCATAATAACAAACAACAATAGCAAGCACATTTACACACTCCAGAGGTCGAAAATTGGCAGCCAGCGGGTCTTGCTTTCTTTGCCTGTTGTTACCTTTCCTGATCACCATGACAACAGCCACCAGGGCAGCAAGGAGGAGGAGGGCTCCAGCCAGGCTCAGAGAAAGTGCCAGGATCCAAGTGGGCACTGGGGAAAAATGGAAAAAGAAAGAGGGCAGGGCATGGAACTGTGGGGGCAGGAGAGGGTGGGACACCCGTTGCTCCCCCTGGTTTCCTTTGGGGAGGCAGCTCTCTCCTGTGCTCCTCCAACCCATGCTCCCCAGCCCTGTAGCTTTGGGGCCAACGCAACAAGGAAACCTTGAGTCTAGCCAATTAGCATATTCCCTCCCCCCCTGGTCATCATGATTGGTTCAGGGAGGTCATGTGGTCTAAGATGAGCCAATGAAAACTAATTCTGGGACTTTGGCTGGACCACTGGGAAAAGAAGTTTGTTCTTCTGGCTAGGATTAAAGGCTAGTAGGTTGGGCAATCTACTTCCATAGTGATACCCCCTAGGAAACCCAAGGAGGGTTCGCTATGAGTCAGGGCCAACAGGAGGGCACATAACAACAACAACAACATAGGCTGTACAACTGGAGCTGCAGGGCACGATTTGCCACCATGTCCAGGAGGCCCTCCCTGGGAATAAAATCCTTACATAAAAGGTAGTAAAGCATTCTTGACTTCTTTGAGCACCTGGATCCAACCACACTTGTAGTCACTATGCTCCTGGACTGTTCAGTTCTATGAACCAGCAAATTCCCTTTTGTTACTTATGCCACTCTGAGTCAATTTCTCAGTTTCTTACAACCTGAAGAGTCCTAATGGTTTCAGCTTGGTCACCAGGGGGTCAGATGACACCCACCCAGGCCACATGGAGGATTCTGAGGCCCACGCAGAGGTATGGAAGCCCCAGCTCCAGAATTTTCTTCTCTTCAAAGGACTCAGCTGCCCCTCCCTGGAGAGAGAGGGGATCTCTCCTGGGAGTCCAGAAGGTGTTACCCTGACCCCAGCCAAGGTCAGGAGCTAAAGGAAGAGGGGCAAGGAGAGACACACACTTGGATTCTCACAGTGTTAGCCCTTGTTCAGTCATTCATCTGGCACAAGAGGCCTGTGGCCTTCCAAGACCACAAGGCTGAGGTGAGAGAAAGGGCCTTTGAACAGCAAGGAAGCACACAGAAACTATTTGGTCACTCAGTGTTCGGCCTCTGCTGGCAATAAGCAGCTCTGTGCAGTGGAAAGTTCTGATTGACGGTGATGAGGCGGAGCACCTGGAGGCAGACTTCTGGGAGAGCATCTCTCCTGCCTCAGCTCCTAGATCCAGAGCTCATGCCCCACTCCCTCTCCTGGAGAACTGAGAGAGACCTCAGCCTTCCCCCCGGCTGCCATCTCACTCCAAGGCAAACTCAAAATCTTCACTGCAACCCACAAGGTCCTGCACTGTCAGCCCCTTTCCATCCCTACCCTTCTTTCTTTCCCCCCTCCCCTTACTCTCTGCACAACAGCTCCACTGGGCTCCTCCATCCTCTTCCAGAAGCACATGCCTCCCTCAGGGCCTTTGCATAGACTGTTCCCTCTGCCTGGAACACCGTTGCCCCAGATACCGACACAGTGGCTTCTCTTCAAATGTCACTTCTCTGAGGGGCCTCCCGTGACCACCCTTCATTCTATTTTAAATGATACCCTTTCCCAAGCTTGAGGATTGAATGTTTATGGGATTGCTTGTTAGTCTTGTCTCCCCAGGGAGCGTTAGCTACAGGAGGGCAGGGACAATGTCTGTTACACTCACTGCAATGCTTTGTGCCTCATCCAAAAAAACCCAAACCCACCTCCATCAAGTCGATTCTGACTCATAGTGACCCACATTGGGTTTCCAAGGTGGCAAATCTTTACAGACGTAGATTGCCCAGCCTGCCTTCTGCAGAGTGGCTGAGGGGTTTGAACCACCAATCTTCTGGTTAGCAGTCAAATGCCTTAGGCACTATGCTACCAGAGTTCCTTTTGCACATTATAGGCGCTCACAAGCGTGAGCGGTGGGGTGCAGTCTAGCACGTGGTGTAAGGCTTGGACTTTAGAGGCTGCTGGAATTCCAGCTTGGCCACCTGCTCACTGTGTGACTTGAGCAAGTGTCTTTGCCTCTTGTGGCTCTTATCTGTTTCCTTATCTGCAAAATGGGGAGATTCCCCATACCCTCCTCATGGGGTGGGGGCGAGGAATAAGAAAGGAAAGGCGAGGAATCCTGGCCAAGTATCAGCCTGGCTTTTCTTCTGCAGAGTTCCAGGCCGAGGCTTGGCAGGCAGAGTGAGAGTGAAGCGAATGGCAGTGCGGCCCGTGGGAAGCCCTCACCTGGGATAGAAACATGCAAAGACTCGCTGAGGTCTGACAGCTGGGCCTGGCTGTGCTCCCCCATGACGCCATACTGGCAGTGGAACGTTCCCCCCGGAGCCTTGCTGTCGCCACCGCTCAAGTTAAAGGTGACCCCGAGCTGGTCTGCAGGAGCCTGCAGGAGCTGGATCACCTGCCCTCCACGGTACAGTGTGAAATTCGCACCCGGGAAGCCCCTGGGGGCTATGCATGTGATGTGGATGGGGTCCTCTTGGCTGCTGGGGTGCGGGGGCACCAGCAAGATGGACGGTGCTGGGATCGCCAAGGAGCCTGCAATGCAGAACAAGGGAAGGTTGTATGGGTGGGTGGTTAGAGCATTGGCTCTGGAACTTGGGCTTCCCTACCTGGCTGTGTGCCCTTTGGCAGATAGCTCCACCTCTCTGAGCCTTGGTTTTTATGTCCATCAAGAGGATGGTGATCCCTACCCTACTGCTAGGTTGAGAGGATTGAGTGCCCTGCACAGGGAGTTTCAGTCATTTTATACTAGCAATGGTCATTATAAAACCAAGAAAACCAAACCCACTGCCATCAAGTTGATTTTGACTCATAGTGACCCCATAGGACACAGCAGAACAGCACTAGGGGGTATCCGAGGGTGTCATCCCTATAGAAGCAGATTGCTACATCTTTCTGCCAAGGAGCAGTGGATGAGTTCCAAGCGCCAATCTTTCAGTTAGCAGCTGAGTGCTTTAACCACTCCATTATCAGGGCTCCTTGATGGTCATTACAGAGTAACAGGATTATATAGTGTTTTTTGCAAATAACATGCCCATGCAAATAACACTAGTCATCATGCTTACAAAAATAAGGGTAGTTTGTGTGGAATGTGTGGGTTATTTGCATAAAAATACGGTACTGTTATTACTCCCATCAGCAAATATGTTCTCAGTACTGATTATGTGCCAAGCCCTGCTCTGGGTGCTGGGAGCCAAGCAGTGGGCAGGACAGACAGACATGCCTGCCTTGTGGAGCTGATGTTCTTGTCTAGGAGACAAGGGATCCTATGTAGGCAAATAGATAGGGAACAGGGAAGGCTGTGCCAGCTGGGGCAGCCACAGAGGGGTTCCTTGAAGAGGTGAGCTTTGGGCTGAGTTCTGAGAGGTGAGGGCAAGAGGCAGAGGAACCTTCCAGGCAAAGGCTCAGAGGGTGGACAGGGAGCAGTGAGGAGGCCAGGATGGCTGGAAGGGAACAGCTGAGGGGGAGAGCAGGGGAGGGCAGAGGGGCCAGGCTGTGGTGAGGATTATGGGTTTTAGAGTATGGCTTAATGCAGGAGGAAATTTCCCCAGAGACCAATCTCTGCCCCAGCTGCCCACAGGCTGCTGAGCAGTGCATCTGGCCCAGGTGAGACCTACACAAGTCTCCCCTTGTTCAGCCTCCACACCTTGGCCCAGCCTCTGCATCCCCACCCCCCCCAGCAGATCCTCCTGCTGAGTCATGGGGCATGGGCACACCTTCTCCAGTGGGGTGGTATTTCTGATATAGTCTTGACTTAGGGATGATGAGGAGCCCAGCAAGAGAGAGCATGTTCTGGGGAGTTTCCAGGGCTCTTAGCCAAATCTGTCGGAGCTCAGCCTCCTCTCTCACCTGGGAAGGGCAGCCCCATACTGGTTTCTAGCCCCAGAGCAGCAAGGTGGCCAGGGGTGGGGGGGAGTGGGGTAGGGATGGTGGAGGGGGCGTCAGACTCACCAGCTGCAAAGAGCAAGACAGCCCAGGGCATTTCTCTTCCCGCGTGTGGCTGGGAATCTGGCTGAGGCCAGAGTGGCCGTCTGCTGCCCGCCAACTCCTCCTGTGAGGCCAGAGTGGGGAAAGGAGAAGCAGGGTTTACTGGAGCCCAGTGTTTCTTCACTGGCAGGAAGTTGCACACCCTCCAGCGCTGAAAGGGACTCTCTCCTCTCCCCACCCCTTTCATGAATGCACATCAGATCCTGGCACCTCTCTGCACCTTGGTGGCCATGGTTTTGCAAATTGGAGGGAAAAAATGGATGCAATGGTTGGGTGTTGGTTTACTTTTTCTCCCCCTAAGAGAACTCCTGGGCATGAGGAAGGGTGATGGCAATGGCTGGTTGGGGAACCCACATCCAAGACAAAAACCACAGCCCAATCAGTGTCAAAATTGAGACAAATACATGGTGAGGGTGGTAGGGCACAGTAGTTAGGGCTTGGCCTCTTTGACCTCAGGCAAAGTATGGTCCTTCTTTGAAGCCTCAGCTTGCTGCTCTGTAGAATGGGACCAAGAGAACTCATGGTATGAAATGTAATGCCTAGTGGCTTGTGAGTGCTCCCAGTGTGAAGACACAGGGAAGAAAAGCTTCACTACCTGTAGAAAGGGTGTATGTGTGTTGGGGGAGCAGTGTCTGACCTATAACTTCACAAGGTGGGAGGAGGACCAACATCAACAACCCAAGGCTGATTCCTATGAAGTGGAGGTCAGACATGCCTCCACCCTTGTTCTGGTTACCCAGTACAGCTCTGACAAGAATATACCATAAATGGGATGCTTAAACAAACAGGAGTTTATTCTTACACTTTGGAGGCTTTAAGTCCAAGTTCAAAGTGCCAGGCTCTAGGGGCTGGGTGAAAGCCCCTCAACCTTGGGCTTCTGCTCTGCCTCCAGTTTCTGGCCCACTGAAGCTAGAGGCTTTTCTTCACTCATACAGCTGCTGGCTGCTGAAACTGACAAGCCCAAGGTTGACAAGTAAAAAGGCACAGTCCCGATGTTACCAAACCACACAGCAACCATTAATTTAAGTCCATTGTATATCCCCAGGTCAGCAGAGCATGGCAGGCTGCTGAACAACATCACCGCTACATGCAGGGTCCAAGCATGCCATAAGCTAGAGACCATTCCCAAAGCTGTTTCTTATATACTGAGAGCAGACTACATACCCAAAGGCAGCTGCTACTCAGCTGCTCCCAGTAGATTCCACCATGGAGTTGATTACCAGTCTCATCATGGGGAATACTACATCCAGCTGCCCAGCCACTCAACCAGGCCCAGCCAAGTTGACACACAAACTAAACTACCACAACCCTCCAACTTTGTTACCAATTCTGGCACCAACCATCCCTCTCATGGCACTCTCTACTTCCCTGCTGGGTTTAATAATTCATTTCAGTGGCCACACAGAACTCACAGACAATAGCCATGCTTATGGTGTCTATTAGGGAAGTAACAGGTTATAATTCAGGATCAGAAACAACTCAGGATACAGTTCTTGATCAGGACAGCCTCTTCTAAGCCATGCCCAAAGGCAGGTCTCCCTCTGGCCCTCAGCCTAGCCTCTGTCCTGCTTGGGCAAGTATTACAGAGCTCTTTTAGCTCAGAGAAGCACCCCACTCTGGCAGCAAGGCTCCTGCCTGAAAGCACTCTGCTTTCTTGCTCCAGGGGCCAGGAAGCCCACTGCTCTGCTTCATGCCAGTCTCTGGGTTCTGCTGCCTCCGCTGGCACAATTTCTCTGTCGCTGCTTCTTGCCATCTTTGGTGTCACAGCTCTTCTAGATTGAGGAAGTTCAGCACAGGGATCTCAGGTCCAGGGATGCACTCCCCTCCTGGCTCTTTCTTGATAGTAGTGAGATCCCCTTTTTCTGCCTCTGATGGCTCATTTTAAGCCTAGCGAGATGGCAAAACTGACCAACCCGACATTAGGGTTCAATACACCTTATTGGCATGGTCCCACCCCCACAAGGGTGCCACGTACCTTATTTACATTATTAGTAAGCTGTCCAATCCCTTTGGTGGGCCACAAGCACCTCATATTTGCATAGTCCCACCAAGTCATTTGGTGGCAATCACAAAGGCCATGCCTAGAAGGGCCATATTAAGTAATTCACTACACTGCACCACCCAGGCAAAAGGGACCACTAGCTCCAGAACAGAGGAAGTTAAAGATAGTTTGCAGGACAAGTTTTCTCCTATTTAGAGCCCCAAAACTTCCAAGGACTTGCCCTACTAGTGGGTTTCTTTGGTCACTCTATGAACAATTATTTTCAAACCAAGCAGGACAACCTGGAGATTGACTCCTAGGAAGAATATAGATGTGTGGTCGCTGAAACCAGAAAGAACCATTGGAGTGGACATTTTCCCTTGGACACACAAAGCTCATTCTGACCTCAGGGCCTTTGCACATGCTGTTTGACATGCCCAGGACACAATTCTATCAGCCTGGTCAAATCCCACCCATCCTTCAGGTTCTCAACTTATATATCACTCTGGGAAATCTGTCCAGATTATTCCTCTGGACTTAGAAAAAAAAAAAAAAAATTTTTTTGCTGACCCAGATATAGTGCTTTGTGGTTTTCCTTTATTGTATTTAGCGTGTTTGTATTTTCAAGGAATTTGTCCACTTCATCCAATTTATTAGTATAACGTTGTTCATGTTCCCTCATTATCCTTTTAATGTCTATGGGATCTGTACTGATGTTCCTGTTCTCATTCTTGATAATAGTAATTTATGTTTTCTCTCTTCTTGATTTGTCTTCTTGACTAGATTAGGTTTTTCTTTCTTTCTTTCTTTTTTTTTTTTTGTGCCCTGGTGGTGCAACAGTTAAGCATTTGGCTGCTCCCTGAAAGGTGGGTGCTTAGTACCCACCCAGCAGCTCTGTGGGATCTGCTCCCATAAAGATTACAGCCAAGAAAGCCCTATGGAGCAGTTCTACTTTGTCACATGGGGTCACTGTGAATAAGAAATCAACTCAACGGCACCTAACAAAATGACATATGTCCCTCATTCTAGAATCCAAGCCTTTCTAACTAACCCTTCCCCACCTATTAGCAACTCATTTGTTAGTGCTCTTAAAAACAGTGTGTGTGTGTGTATGTATATTTGCTGGTATACAGAAATGCAATAAACTTGGAATACTGATTTTCTTTTTTTATGGTTCCTCCACCCCAAGTTAGCATGTGTCTACCTTCTAATTAGTGGTTTATTCTCCCTTCACCACCACCCCTGGTCACCATGAAAGAGTTCTTTTGTGTATGTGAAACCCTTTTCTTCACTTTTTACAATGTTGTTGTTGTTGTTATGTGCTGTTGAGTCGGACCTGACTCATAGCGACCCCTCCTTGGGTTTCTGAGGTGGTATCACTACAGAAGTACGTTGCTCAACCTTCCTTCCGAGGAGTGGCTGGTGGGTTTGAACCGCCAGCCTTCTAGTTAGCAGTCAAGTGCCTTAGGCACTACACCACCAGAGCTCCTCTTTTTACAATAGTGGTGTCATATAATATTTATCTTTTTATGATTAACTTCACTCAGCATAATGGCCTCTAAGTTTATCCATATTATGAAATGTTTCAGATTCATCACTGTCCTTCAATGTTGTATAGTGTTCCATTGTGTGCATGTACCATAGTTTGTTGATCCATTCCTCCATTGATGGGCACTTATGTTGTTTCTGTCTGTTTGCTATGGTGAATAGTGCTGCAGTGAACATGGGTGTGCAGATATCTGTTCTTGCTATGGCTCTAATTTCTCTAGGATATATACTTAGCAATGGGGTTGCAAAATCATATGATATTTCTATTTCCAGCTTTTTAAGGAAGCACCACACCACTTTCCACAGTGATTGCACCATCTTACAGTGTCCCCAGCAGTGTATGAGGGTTCCAGTCTCTCCACACCTTTGCCAGCATTTGTTGTTTGATGCTATTAGTTTGATCTTTTCAAAGTATTGCCTTTTGGCTTTGTATACTCTATTTTCCCACAGAATGTAGAAATTATAGAACAATATCATTAATATCACATGCAAGTAAGATATTACTGAAGATAATTCAGAAACGTTTGCAGCAGTAT